CACTCCTCTCCCCTCCGCCACCCTCCCTGCAGGGGGGAAGGAGGAGGGGGGGCTTAGTGTGGCCAGCACATGGCGTGGGGAAGGCTCTGCTGCCGGGGTGGAGGTTTTCTGGCCTTGGTTTGGCTTTGTTGAGGGTTTGTCGGTGCTGCAGGATCTCGAAGTGGTGCGCAAGACGGGCTTTTGTTTTCCAGATTCATGCATTGATCACAGGCCCATTTGACACGCCTTATGAAGGGGGTTTCTTCTTGTTCCTGTTTCGCTGTCCTCCAGATTATCCCATCCACCCGCCGCGGGTCAAACTGATGACAACGGGAAATAACACAGTGAGGTTTAACCCCAACTTCTACCGCAATGGGAAAGTCTGCCTGAGTATTCTAGGGTAAGAGGAGACTTTGGCTCTTTTGATGGGAGGTCAGGAGGCGGCTGCAGGCTGCTGCCTTCCCTCCTCACGCCTCCTTCTCGGCGCGTTGTGCCCCGTTCTCACCCCAGACCTGTGCTCGGGTGCACCTTTCTGCTTCTGTGAAGTCGTGTGCGGAGTCAGAGCCATAAAGCAGCACAAATTCCTCTACTGAAATAACAGTCTAACTCGTTTTTAACCGCACCTGAGAGGGGAGCAGGGGAAGCTCCACGTTCAGAGGATGCTGATGCTTTTTTCCTGCTTCCCCCTGCGAAGCCTCGGCCCCAGGCACTTTCTTCCGCTTTTGCGCTTTGCAGCCTGATCCTGAAGGTTGTTTGAATGTAGGGTTTTGTGGTTTTAATTTCCTCTCCCTGTGTGGGTTTAAAAATAAATAAATAAAATTAAAAGCCGCTAAGAACTTCCTTGAGAGCCATTCGACTTGCTCTGGGCTTCCACCTACACAGAGTATGGCGGTGCGGGGGGGACGGTTCAGGAGCGCTGCTCCAGTCCTGCCTGTCCCAACAGGCTCCGCTGCAAAAACGCTGCTTATTATTCACCTATTTGATTTTTAAACGTGTGAAAGTCCCGGTGGGTTGAATGGTTCTGCCAGAGGAAGCCTCGCCGTGGTGGGATGTTCCCAACCCTCGCTACGAAGGTTTTGGTTGCCGGTAAAAAAAGGCTTTTTGTGGAAACTCTGGAGTGGTGCAGCTGGGGTGTCAGTGTGGGGTTCCTCCTGCTGCAGGGGGATGGCAGCCAGGTGAGGAAGGGACAGTGGTGGCTTGAGTTGCTGGAGGGATTTGAGCAACTGGCAGGAGTCTGAGCTGTGGTTGTAAGGCTGCTGGGCTGGTTCCAGCGGTGCCGTGTGTGTGCCGCTCACACCAAAGCTGGTCCAAGTAGCTGATACCCATCAGCTGATAGATACCAGCCTCGGGGCTGGGTGAATTTCACTGAATTTCACTGAATTTTTAGAGTTGGAAGGGACCATAAAGATAATCTAGTCCAACTCCCCTGCTGAAGCAGGGTTACCTAGAGCTAGAGCGTGTTACTCAGGAGCATCCAGGCGGGGCTTGAAGATCTCCAGAGAAGGGGACTCCACACCCTCCCTGGGCAGCCTCTTCCAGGGCTCTGCCACCCTCACTGTGAAGAAGTTTTTTCTCATATTTGAGTGAAACCTCTTATGTGAGAGGTGGGTTGTGCTGGGAAACACCTTCCTTGGCATAAGGAGTCTTCCTCATCCAGTGGGCTGGATGCCAGCCGCAGGGCACTGGGGTGTGCAGGGCACGGCCGTGGCTCAGGGGTCCGTGGTGCCCAGCAGCTCCCACACAAGCTGCCTCGTTGCTCCTGCAATTGTAGCCCTGGCAGAGACTAAATTATTGAAGAGCGAACAAAGAGCCTCGGCCTGAGCAGAAATGGGAAGCACGGAGGGAGCTGCAAGTGAAAGGATTTAGGAAGAGCATATGTGGGTCAGCACACCCTGGTTGAGCTCACAGGGAGACAGGTCTGTATGTGGAACGAGGATATTAAGGGCGAGCAGCAGAACGGCTGCTTCTGCTTGTGCTGTTCTGTGCAAAGGTTTTTGCTACACTCTGTGTATGGAACAGGCACCTTTTTCCTACAGCAGAGCATCCGTCGGTGCTTTTGATGGCAAGGCTTGTGCTGAGTGTCTGATTGCACAAGTGATGGTTTAGTTTCAGTCTTGAAAATCAGATTTTGGTTCTGGTTTTGACTTCTGGTGGTGCTGGGAGCTCGTGTTGCTGCAGGCTCTGTGCGAGATGGTGGCCGTAGCTGTGAAGTGCCCCATAAAATGCTTGGAAATGTTACTTTTCCTTTTCCATCACACACCATGTGTGATGCCCTGTGTGTGGTAGCAGTGAAGTGAAGTTTACCAGCCTCTCTTGCCTTGCTTACACTGAAGTACTCGTTTGGTTGAGGGAATAAACTACTTGGACCCTGAAGACTTTCTCGGTGCCCAGGGCTTTCAGTGTCTGTAGCGGCTGTTTCTTTTCCTGTCGCATTTCTTTAAGGTGTAGATGTGGTTTCCCAAACTTTCTGATCTTTGGGAGTTGGAGGGATGGTGCTCACTGGGCCAGTCCCGTGTCGTTAATTGATGTTTTTCTGTTTTACTGCCTCAGCACCTGGACCGGGCCGGCGTGGAGCCCAGCGCAGAGTATCTCCTCAGTCCTCATCTCCATCCAGTCCCTGATGACTGAGAACCCCTATCACAACGAACCCGGCTTCGAGCAGGTGAGAGTTGGAGGTGGATGGTCTCTGCTTCTGCAGCTCTTTTGTCTTTTCCCTCCACACCTTTCTCCTGGTGGCAAATCCCACCCTGGAAGCGGCGACAGAAGTAGGTGATGTCGCTTGGCTGTTTTGCAGCTCCCTCTGCCTCCAGTCGGAGCGTGAGGGGGAGTTTAGAGCCAGCTCTGAACCAGAGGCTGCTCCTCACGTATGTGTAGGGTAACAGAAGAACAAGAGGCATTGGAGAAGTTGCTGGGGAGATGGGATGGCTCTTCGTGTCGCTGCTACGCGACTCCTGAAATGGCTTCCTCGGGACACATTGTCACGCAGGAACCAAACTGCTCAGGTTTTCAGGGTCTCCAGCATCTTGGAGAGAGGCAGGTTCCTGTGCTAACTTTATTAGTTGACCTGGCTCTACAGCTGCGTGAGTCCGAGGCTCTGGAGACATGTAAAATCTTGCCGGCTTTTCGTTTGCAGTATAAGTTAGCTCAGTATACGTGGCACAGACAAAGCTGTAGTGGGTTCGTGCACCAGTGAAATTCATCGGGCCCAGGAGGGAGAGAAGATGAGCCATCATTGCAGTCGTGTGGACTCACTGGCCCAAATTTTATTTCCAGGAGAGGCACCCTGGGGACAGCAAGAACTATAACGAGTGCATTCGGCACGAGACCATCCGGGTAGCAGTGTGTGACATGCTGGAAGGAAAGTGTCCCTGTCCTGAGCCCTTACGGTACGGAAAAGAGGCATGGAGGGAGGGAGGGAGCATAAGAAAGTGGGTGTGGGGAAGCAGGATAAACTTCTCTGGCCGCTATTCCTGGGAGTTGCTTCAGGGAAGAACAAGTCTTTAACTCTCCCTGGTCCAGCAAAGAGTCGTTTTGTTTCCCCCAAGTGGATGGTTGATCTGTGCAGCAGCAAAGGCTGTGTTAATAAGCAGCCTCTGCATTATTATGCATCGACCGATGGCTGCATCCTCTGACTTGGGTGTGAGAATAAATGTGCCTTGTCTTATGGGGGGGAAAAACACGTCTCAGAGGGAGGGGAGCACAGCTGTTGTGCATCCTCTGACTTGGGTGTGAGAATAAATGTGCCTTGTCTTATGGGGGGGAAAACACATCTCGGAGGGAGGGGAGCACAGCTGTTGTGGAAACACGTGCAGAATCTCTCCAGCTGAATCTCTCGCTGTGTCCTGCCTCGCTGTGCCCTGTTAATTGCCTGGGACACCCTGTGTGGGGTCCACCCTGACACAGGAGCTGGAGCTCAGTGGGATGGGGTGACCCGGGGTGGTGGGACAATGTTATAACATTGGTGTTTCGTGTTGACTCTTTACGTTCAGGGGCGTGATGGAGAAATCCTTCATGGAATACTACGACTTCTATGAAGGGGTGTGTAAAGAGAGACTTTACCTCCAAGGACAGACAATGCAGGTGGGTGGCAGACAATTTTCTTGTAGATAACGCACTGCCTTAGGGGGGTGTTGTTAGTGACAACCAACAATGTGCAGCACCTACAGGTACATGGGGTGGGTCTGGATCTTTCTCATGAGCTGTATATTCCAACTTTGAATCATGAAACAGAGACATTCCTGTGGGTAAAACACTACCTTCCCCGAGTTCAGAGTACACACACAGTGTTTTCAAGGCTGTTGGATTTTTGAGTGCTGGACCTGAGGTGTTCTCAGAGGGAGCAGGTTGAACTTTCAGCCCTGGAACCAGTACAGTCTGTTTTGGAGGGCGCAGGCAGGTTATCTAATGCTGGTGGCAACTGGATTCTATAGCAGCACCTTCCTGTTGGGACACCGGTGGAGTTTCACTTTCTCTTGAGGTCCCTTTGCTCATACAGCAGACAGGAACTTTGCTCTGACACTCCTTGTTCTCTCAGATAAGATTGAAAGTGGCTGAGTCAAAAGTTACCGGGGGAGGGAGAGGTGGGGGCACGGTGACAGAGTGGCAGACACATCTAGACAGGTTGAATACAGGAGCTTGTTTCTGCAGGAAAGCAGACTTTAAAGAATAGATTGCCAAGCTATTTGCATATGAACAGTTGTGTCTTCCTCCCTCATCAGCCACCTCTTGTCTGACTCATTGAGAATTTCCACTGCTAAGAAAAGATGGAGGTGGTTGATTTAATGCCTCTGAGCCCTTTTTTTCCTGTCAGTGCCGTCACTTGCTGTGTAATTCATAAACTGAAAGTGCTCCCAAAGGAGGAGGGTTGATGTTTGGAGTGAGAAATTCCTGTAAGGAAGGTCAGTGCCTGACTTATAGCTGTGGAGAGGACTGAAGCCTGTGCAGTGAAGTTTGATGACTAATATTAGAGGGTTGTCAGGTGTTGTTCCCCCCTCTTATTTCTTCTTCGAGGAGCCAGGGCTCAGTTGCCTTCTCCAGGGTGTGTGAAGATCACTGTGTTGTGCTCAGTTCTCAGGGGCAGTGACTGCTGGAGCCAGGGCTCAGTTGCCTTCTCCAGGGTTTGTGAAGATCACTGTTTTGTGCTCAGTTCTCAGTTCTCAGGGGCAGTGACTGCCGTGGTCTGTTTTTCCGCTCACTTGGGAACAGTAGCCCAGCAAACACGAGCACAAGGTGCTGGGGAGATGCTGTTGTCACCTGCACTACCCTGTATTTAAAATGAAGTCACTCCAGGCTCAGTATCAGTTGAGTGCTTGCCAGATGTGTTGCCTTCTTAACTCTGGGGCCACGTGTTGGCTTGTACCAAAGATTTCCATCAGATGGGACAGGGTAAACTCCACCATCTATAGCTCTGACAACATGTCTTTGACCTGGGACGGGGATAAAAGCAGCAAATGTTAAATAATCTCCAGAGACTTTCTGCCTCTTGGCTACGTCTCAGCTGGGGGCCTGGATTGAAAATGAGAATAACGATGCTTTCCTTTGGGAAGGGTCTGTAGCACTGAGGGGCTTTCATTGGTCGTGTTTTCCCTGCCTCCTTGGGCCTGAGACCAAATCTTGGAAATAGTTTTTACTTCCTCAAAGCTGTAAAAATCCAACCTGTGTCTGCTTGGCCTTTCATCTGGTTTTGAAGTTTGCTTGGGGTTTGTAAGGATTCCCGAAAGAGACTCCAAAAAGGAAGTCTTCACCCTCTGCCATGACAATGGAAAGTTCAGAGGCCCCTCCATCTTAAGATGGGATTTAACCTGGTGCTGCTTTTGGCTGGGGTAGAGTTAATTTTCTTCACTGTAGCTAATGTAGGGCTGTGTGCTGGACACGTGTTGATAACAGTGGGGTATTTCAGTCACTGCTGAGCAGCGCTTTCACAGAGTCAAGGCCTTTTCTGCTCCTCATCCCACCCCACCAGAGACTAGGCTGGGGGTGCACAAGAAGCTGGGAGTGGACACAGCCAGGACAGCTGACCCCAACTGGGCAAGGGCTGTTCGGTACCGTGTAACATCATGCTCAGCAGTAACCTGGTGCTGCTTTTGGCTGGGGTAGAGTTAATTTTCTTCACTGTAGCTAATGTAGGGCTGTGTGCTGGACACGTGTTGATAACAGTGGGGTATTTCAGTCACTGCTGAGCAGCGCTTTCACAGAGTCAAGGCCTTTTCTGCTCCTCATCCCACCCCACCAGAGACTAGGCTGGGGGTGCACAAGAAGCTGGGAGTGGACACAGCCAGGACAGCTGACCCCAACTGGGCAAGGGCTGTTCAGTACCGTATAACATCATGCTCAGCAGATAAAACTGGGGGAAGAAGAAGGAAGGGGGGGATGTTCGAAGTTGTGGCATTTTTCTTCCCAAGTACCCATTGGGCGTGATGGAGTCTTGCTGCCCTGGGGGTGGCTGAACACCCGCCTGCTGATGGGAAGCAGGGAATGAATTCCTTGTTTTACTTTGCTCTTACTTCACTTCTTAAACTGCCTTTATCTCAACCCACGAGTTTTCTTTCTTTTCCAACTCTCTGCATCCTGCTGGGGGGAGTGAGTGAGCGGCTGCGTGGGGCTCGGTTGCTGCCTGGGGTTAAACCACGACCAACTCCCAAGTCTTTGACCATTTGTTGCCCAAATCCTACACAACTTTTTTTCCTTTCTGCCTCTTCCCAGAAGGGTAATGCTCTATATGAATAGCTTTATCTATGGTTTCCTTCCAGGATCCTTTTGGTGAAAAACGAGGCCACTTTGACTATCAGTCCCTATTAGTGCGTTTGCAAGGAATTCGGCAGAAGGTGCAAGAGAAACACCAGCAGGAGAATACAGAAATAGACTCTGAGAGCAGCTCCTCCGAGACAGAGACAGACACTCAAGGTTGCTCTAAAGCTTAGAGCTGCGCTGCCGGTGGAGGGGCCGAGCCGTGGGGATGTCCTGTCTTCACACTCTAGAGACCCCCGACAGACTCCACAACCCAACCGATGCCAGAGCGGAGAGGACTGGGGGATGTCTTCTGTCTCCTTTTACTGCTCTGGTGGATAACGCTGAACGAGAAGACTTCATGCTAGACAAAGCCAAGCTTGTGACAGGCTACTCTTAAAAAGGTACTTACTATGCTAGAAAGCTGGAGCATGTGGCATCAGGTTATTTTTTGGAAACACCTACACTGGTTGGTTTTTTTTTTTTTCCTTTATTTTTTTTTTTTCCTCCATTTGATTAAAGAATGAGATCTAGACTGCGAATCCTCTTGACAGCTTTTCTGTTCCTAGACAGTGAGCCCCTTCCCCGGGGCCGTGCTGAACGTGGAGCTGTGGGAGCACTTTGATGAGCCCAGGGTATGACGGGGCCCACGCACCCCGTGCCCAGGTGAAACCTTTTTTTTGGTGCGGGTTGGGAGAGAGATGGAGCCTCTCTGCTCTGTGGAGCCCACCTACCTGATGTCTTTCTTCTAGACACTGTTCTAGACAGACCAAAGATAAAAGAGCAGTGGTGGAATCTGGGCTCCTTTCTGAAAGCTTTACTCAAGCCCTGGGTGACTTCGTCCACTGAGACTCCAGGCGCAAAGGGGCAGATGAGAAGTGGAAACAGCAAGAATCCAGGAATCAAGTGCAGGTGTGTTCGTCTTGGTGATCTGGGGAAGGGGGGGTGAGAAGAACATGGGTCAGAGATGGGGAGAGCACTTATAAGTCGAGTTTGTGTACTATTTCTTTAAGGTATTGATTTGAATTTAGCATCCTAGAAATACTTTATTCTGGCTGCTCTGAAGGGAGCTGTTTTTTTTTCCTTAACTGAAGTATTCTTTACTTTCCACCTCCCTAGTCAGTACAGTATTTTATTTTCCTCCCTTCCTCCTCCTCCTGCCTCCACCGGCAGATCCGAGCGCTGGGATAAGGGGCCGTTCCAGCGGAGGAAGCTGCTGTTTGGGGTGGAGCTCCTCGGAGGTGGACGCCTTGTTGCCGACAGATTCCTTTGCCAAACTTAGCCCAGTGTCGTCGAGTTTAACACTTCGGTGCTTTTGAACGTTTTAAAGCAGCAGCTTTTCTTTTTTTTTTTACTGTGAGCAGAGCCCCTCGGCGAGACGCCTGCGAGTGCCATTACATCAAAGTGCAGTCGGTGTAACTTGGGTGGAGGCGAAACACACGGTTTCTCCAGGTGTTATGAGCCTGGGGATGGTTGATTGGAGCAGTGTAACATTTTGTTGATAAAGAGCTTAATCTACTTTTTTTTTTTTGTTGTATTATTCCTTTTATGGGAGCTTTGATAGAAAGCTGAGCACAAAGTTGCACATTGTCCTGGGCCCTCTCCCGGTTTCCTTAAACACCTTCCCACCAGCTCGGCCCCGTTTCAGACTCCTCGTGGTGGTGGGAGAACTTCCAACACAGTCTAAAGGAAAAAAAAGGGCAGAAAGAGGGGGCCTGGAAGGCCCCTGCCACGTGCTGCACAGAAAGGCAATGCCCCACACCTCACTCAATTATTGTCACTCTCTGATTTCGATCGACTCTTGCAGAACTCAGAGGCCTGCACACTGCTGCTCCGGCAGCGCCGAAAACCCGAAAGGTGGAAACATTTTGGAATTGTTAAGGTGCCGTTGAACAACTCGGGGAACCTTTTTTTTTCCTCCCCCTTTAGCAAGTAAACACCCCTGGGTCTGTCATTGGCTTGATTTCGACTTAAACCCTGTCTCCCCCTCGAGGGAAAGCTGAACTTACATAGGACTCACTCAACACACACCAGAGGAGAGTAAATAAAGCGGTGTTCACCTCGGAAGCAGCTCTGGGGGAGGTGGGGGGGTCTCCCCACGAGTCCCCAGCTGCCTGATATTTTACCACCTCTTCAATCCCATTGTAAATGTCACGTTGTTTTTCACCATTCAGTAGCGTCGTGGGTAGAGCTGTGACTCCCCTGCCTTCCCCAGGCAGAGCTGGGTCTGAAATCTGTTTGTGGTGCATGTGGCGTTACCATCCACCCATACAAGGAAACGAGAAAATGCCTTATTGTGGACACTATTCACATAACTCGCATGTGGCTGTAAAAGAGAAGTATTAGTTTTATAGCTCTAATGTCGTCTGTCCTACCATTTCTGAATGTTTCCATTTCAAAGTGACAATCCTCAAATGACTGCTCTAGACAGAGATGTTTTAGCAACAGATTTTTAGACCTAATTGAGTTGAAAATATATGCACAAGAGTCACTCTAAGATACCTTGTTTATATACTATTGTACATAAGATTTTCTTTTTTTTTCTTTTTTTTTTTTTTTTTTTTTTTGTGCAATAAAGTTTGTTTTGGCAGAATCTAGACTGTGGTGCTCCTTAGTGGAACAACGCCTTGGTCACAGAACGTTCCTCAGAGTCACTGCTGCTCCCAGATCCTTTAGTTGGAGTCACATTGGCAGTTGCAGTAGCAGCTCAGATAATTTCCCTCTTGCCGTGACACGGTCATTATTAGTTGTCTGTAACAGTAAGTGGCATTTCCACCCACAACAGAGAAAATTCAGAGGTAAGCAAGTAGGAATTAGTCCTGTTAAACTTCTCAAGCTAGACGCTTTTTAGAAAAGTTTTATTTCAAGTCCACTGTCGCTGTGTTTCAGGTGATATGCAAATAACCCCACAAGAAGAATTATGTACAGGCACAGAACACGTAGCAGTCAAGGTATCGCCTCCTTGGCTTCCTCTGGAGTGATTTCCTGAGAGTAGAGCTCTGTAAAGAGAGCAGGCAGCCAGTACTGAGGTTCTCCTGCCGCCTGCGTATCCAGCCAGGCCATTCCTTCCTTCAGCAAGTGTTCCTGTGCAGAGAGAGCAGAAACTGTGAGTGAGATGTCACTAAATTCCTGAGAAGCTGTTCCCAGCAGAGGCCTGACCCCACATTCACTCTAGGGTAAGGGAGGGTGAAGAACTCAGGATATCAGAATTCGAATTTTACTAAGAGAAATACCCAGCCACGTTGATGTAGGACCTAACAAGATGCAGGTTTTAATGGTGTCACTTGACTCCAGTCTGCACCAGGGACCTTCATACGTACCAGCACCTGCTTGGCGCGTTCCGTCTCCCACTTCAGGCTGGATCTGATCTCGCTGACTGTTACGTAGCCCTTTTTCTGAAATGAGAGGAAAAAACCCATGTGCTTTATTATCCATAGCTCAGGGAGCGGGGACAGTTTTACTCTGGCCTGGTCTAGTCACAGTTCTCTGTCACAGAAGCAATAAGCTTCTTTCAAGGTGGTTGTATTTTAACCTCCCCTGGCTCCGTACCTCTGCCAGCTGCAGGACGACGGTGTGATCCATGTTCAGTTCTGCTGGTACAGACTGGATCAGATACGTCCCACCAACGGGGATAATCCCAAAGCCATTCCCCAAGACCTTCAGTTTCTTGATTGCGCGGAGGAGATCATCCCTGGGAAGGAAGAGGTCAGCACAAGGCTTTAAGGGTAGAGCCTCTCTCAGACTGCACACTGTGCTCCCTTAATGAGGGAGACCTGATGTATAATAATAGCAATAATAGCTCTTTAGAGCTTGCTGCAGTTTCAGGAAACCCACAGCTGGAAAAAATGTTAATAAATCAATTTAAAATTAGTTTGCCTATCTGTGCCCCCTTCAGAAGTGGACTTGCATTAGGGACATGCTTGGAGCACCTGAGCTGCAAGTGCTAAACTTTAAGATTCAGCCCCAATTAGTGATCTTGGTGAGTTGTGCCCCAAAATCTGCTTCTGACAAGTATCAGCCCCTTCCTTCAGCTCAGGAGATCACAGCAGCTTCAGCAGAATGTGGCAGTAGAACTGGATTTGCAGGGGACTAATTGCTCAAGGCAACAGTCCTTTATGCCTTAGGGCTCCCAGAGAAAGCACAGAGCTGCTTCCTGAAATGCTGAAGTCATTAATTGTGGATCGCAACTCCAATTTGGGGGGCCAATTAACAGCAGCACCTTCAAATGCTGCTGAGACCAGTCACCCCCTTTTCTTCCCCGAATGCTACTCGATTCCCCTTCCCTGTAACGCGCCGACACTCACTGGCTGACATCCTGGGCAAACTTCCCCCTTCCCTTCAGCACTTGCTGATGAAGTTCTTCCAGCGTTATCAGACCTAGGAGTCAACAGAAGGGGACGGGAAAGCGTTACAGCAACAGGGCAACAGGATTCCTCCAGCCAGAGCCCTCAAGGGCCCTTTGTGCCTCTGCCACGGGCTCCCTCCCCCTGGCCCTTCCACAGCGGCTGTTCATTGTTCCCAGCATCACGCCCTGGGTGAGATAAGCATCCAGTTACTTCTGGGCCCACAACAGTCAGCTGTTGCCTTCTCCCACAAATGTACGGGACTCGAGTTTCAGCTGGCTTTGCTGTAGCCCATTCCTGGTCTCAGATTGCCCTTTTGGAGTGAAGAACATCAACTGTCTGTTCATTAGGCACTTAGCACTGGTATTCCAACTCTTCTGGATATCGCTGTGATCCTTCAGAGACAATCCTACTGCTGGGCTCAAAGCAGGAACTGAGCAGTTTCGTGCTCCTTCAAGATCGTCACTGATTCCTGCTCCTTCCCCATAAAACTGCGAATTATGGTTTTCTTACCCAAACGGGGCAGAGTTGGTTGATTTCTGTAGAAATCAATAAAGCTGGGTGACTGCCAGCGGGGGGCAGCTGTACCATTGTAGAAACCAAACAAGGCTTTTTGGGGGCAACGAAGACAAAACTGCCATCTCAGATATTTTGTGAAATCTACTAAAGAACGTTACACTGAGTGATGCCACTCCTGTTCCACAGGGAAAAGGTGTCCTCCTGCTCTGTTCCCGACACGGTGGGATCCTCACCTCCATTCCTGTGTTTCAGAGCCAGGCAAACTTCGATGATCTGCACACCCAGCTCATAGTAAAAGTCTCCAACTCCCAGCATCTCTGACCAGAATCCTTTACCGGCTGTGAAGTGAGAAAGGGGAAAGTGATTAGACCATGGGCAAAAGCACCCTTAACAATTACTGATGCCAATCAGGCTGCTCACAAACCTCACTGCAAGGACTCAGATCTGTCAATGAAAAGTCTCCATTTTGGTTCTTTCCACCTGTTTTCCCCCACCCTTTTAAATAAATAGGACCCAACGGTACATTACGCCAATTCACAAACCCTACAAATCAAAACACCATCAGCTTTCCTCAAGGACAACTTCCAGCAGCTTCACTAGGAGCTGTTATGAGAACAGCGAGAGGAATCCTTGGTCATTAACCCCTGGTGCCTGTTCCTCACATGCCAGAGGATCCACCCCGATGGTGGCACACATGTCCTGGAACTGGACCCGGAACTCGGGGTTTTTCCGGATCTCTTGCTTGTGTTTGCTGGCAAACTCTTCTAAGTTGGTCTTAAACATGTCCAGCTGCTTTGACATCTGAAAAGAGAATTGCAGAGGAGCGTTTCTGTCTCAGTGCTTATTTAATGCAGTTTTTCTGTTAACCAGCCCCCCACAGGCACTGAGGGAGCAGAGTCAGGAAACACTGACGTGCTGCCCACCCAGTGCCCATGGCCCCAGTGGTTTTAAAGGAAGGAAACAAGATGAAATCACTCAATTGAATCAGAATTCTCCACATGTACACTTTTAACACTGAACACAGACTAAAACAGTGGGGATAAGACAAGGCAAAGGGCTGTTCCAACCCTCAGAAGGGGGGGCAGTGGTGATGTACGCGGGGCAGAAACAGTTCTACAGAAAAATGACTTTGCTGAGGTCCTGAGAAGAGACCTGTAGCAAACATCACAGCTCTCTGATGGAAAGGCAGCCTAAAGGGTGCTGTCATTATCCACACTGCTCAAGGGTAATGCTCCAGACACTGAAGCAGAGGGGGAAATGAAGCCCAGGTTTGCAGCTGGGCTCACAAACCAAGGTTATTCCCTCTGCCAGGGGGGCTGCTCCCACCTGAGCCAGCTGGTCTTCGGCCAGGACCGTCCCTCGCTCCTTGTACTTCGCCTGCAGGAGGAAAACGGGATGATGGAGACAGCGCTGCAGGATGGATGGACCAGAACCCAAAACTGGACGGGGGAAATGCTCCTTGAAGATGGATGAACCATGAGGACCCACAGCCTGGTGCCCTGGGCAAGCAGGGAGGCTGCCAGGGAGCTCCAGGCACCCTGGGCTTGGAGCAGGGCTGGTGTGAGGATGGGGATGGCCCCACACCTGGCACCCCGGACACAGGGCTGAAGGGTCTGACCCCCCTGGCACGGGACTGGTGGACCCTGGCAGCTCCCTACCAGAGACAGGTGAGGTGGGAACCCCCGTGGGGCCTGGCAATCTCCCCCGGGGCCACTGAGTCCTGGCACCCCTCACAGGGGCCTGATACCTCCCCCCACGAGCCCGGTGGGTCCTGATTTCCCCCTGACATGGGCCTGGCAACGCCCCTGCGGCCTGGAGCCCCCCTCATGTGGGTCTGAATTCCCCCCCACAGGCCTGG